TCTGTAGTTTTCCTTCTTAGTATTGTCCTTGTCTGGCTTTGGTATCAGGGTGATGTTGGCCTCATAGAATGTGTTGGGAAGTGTTCTATCTTCCTCAATTTTTTGGAGTAGATTGAGGATAGTTATTAATAGTCTTCTTTGAATGTTTGGTAAAATTCTCCAGAGAAGCCATTTGCTCCTGCACTTTTATTTTTGGGGAGGTTTTTGATTACTGTTTCAGTCTCTTTACTTGTGATTGATCTATTCAGGTTCTCTATTTCTTCTTGATTCAGTTTTGGGAGGTTATATGAGTCTAAGAATTTATCCATTTCTTCTAGATTTTCCAATTTGTTGGCATATAGTTTTTCATAGTATTCTCTTATAATCTTTAGTATTTCTGTGGTATCCATTGTAATTTCTCCTTTTTCACTTCTAATTTTATTTGTTTGAGGCTTCTCTCTTTTTTTCTTAGTCTGGCTAAGGATTTGTCAATTTTGTTTATCGTCTCAAAGAACCAGCTCTTTGTTTCATTGATCCTTTCTACTGTTTTTTTGGTTTCAATTTTATTTATTTCTGCTCTAATTTTTATTATTTCCCTCCTTGTGCTGATTTTGGGCTTTGTTTGTTCTTCCTTTTCTAATTCCGTTAGGTGTAGTTGAAGGTTGCTTATTTGGGCTTTTTCTTGTTTGTTAAGGTGGGCCTGGAGTCCTATGAGTTTCCCCTCTCAGGACCGCTTTCTCTGCATCCTATATGAGTTGGTACGGTGTAGTTTCATTTTCATTTATCTCCATATATTTTTTGATTTCTCCTTTAATTTCGTCAATGATCCATTTGTTGTTCAGCAGCATGTTGTTTCGTCTTCACATTTTTGTCACCTTCCCAGTTTTTTTCTTGTAATTGATTTCTAGCTTCATGGCATTATGGTTGGAGAAGATGCTTGTTATGATTTCAATCTTCTTAAATTTCTAGAGGCATGCCTTGTTTCCCAATATATGGTCTGTTCTTCAGAATCTTCCATGCACGCTTGAGAAGAAGTGTGTAATCTCCTGTGTTTGGCTGGAGCGCTCTATATATGTATCTTTTAAGTCCATCTCAAGTTTTTCCTTTAAGTCCATTATTTCCTTATTGATTTACTGTCTGGATGATCTATCCATTGATGTAAGTTGGGTGTAAAGATCCCCTACTATTATTGTGTTGTTGTTAATATCTCCTTTTAGGTTTGTTAATAGTTGCTTTATGTACTTTGGTCCCCCTGTGTTGAGTGCATATATATTTATAAGTGATATGTCTTCTTGGTGGAGTGTCCCTTTTGTCATTATATATTGCCCCTCTTTGTCTTTCATTACCTTTTTTATCTTGAAGTCCACTTTGTCTGATATACGTATGGCCTCACCTGCTTTCTTTCGTTTTTTCATTAGCTTGGAGTGTCGTCTTCCATCCTTTCCCTCTGAGCCTGTGTTTGTCGTTAGAGCTGAGATGTGTTTCCTGGAGGCGGCATATTGTTGGGTCTTGTTTTCTAATCCATCCTGCCACTCTGTGTCTTTTGATTGGAGACTTCAGTCCATTTACATTTAGGGTAATTATTGATGTATGAGGGCTTAATGTTGCTATTTCTTCGCACATTTTCTGGTTCTTTTGCATTTCTTTTGTTTCTCGTCCCCTGTGTTTTGGACTACCAATTCAGTTTGGTATTTTCTGTATGGTGGTTCTCTTAGTTTTCTTTTTATTTATCGTGTGACTTCGTTCTAATTATTTGGTTGGTGGTTACCATGAGATTTGTATAAAAAAATCTCGTGGATGTGATAGTCCATTTTCTGATGGCCTCTTATTCCCTTAGACTAAGTCGATTCAATCCCTTTCCTCTTCCCCTTCTAAGTTATTGTTGTCACAACTTATTTCATATTGTGTTTTGAGTTTGTGTTTAAAGTGATGAGGTTTTATTTATTTTTGGTGTTTTCCTTCCCTTGATCTTTGGTTTTATAATTAAGTGTTTGCTAATCTATTCTGATAGAGAGCCGCAATTTTCCTGGTATTGTCACCATGTTTTCCTCCTTGTTCAAAACTTTGTATCCCCTTACTCTTTTTTTTTCTCAGGCAGGAGGGCCTTCTTGAGCACTTCATGTAGTGGGGGTCTTGTGGCAGTGTACTCCCTTAGCTTTTGTTTATCTGGGATAGTTATTATTTCTCCATCATATCTGAAGGATATTTTTGCTGGATAGAGTCTTCTTGGCTTAAAGTTTTTGTCTTTCAGACTTTTGAATATGTCGTCCCACTGTCTCCTAGCCTGTAAAGTTTCTGTCGAGAAATTGGCTGAGAGCCTGATAGGAATTCCTTTTTATGTTTTTTTTTTTTTTTTTTGTCTAGCTGCCCTTAATATTTTTTTTTGTCTTTGACTTTTGCCAGCTTCACTGCTATATTCCTTGGAGAAGGTCTTTTCATGTTCATATATTTAGGAGATCTATTGATTTAATTCACTGGTATTTCCAGCCCCTTCCCCAGGTTTGGGAAGTTCTCAGCTATTATTTCTTTGAACAAGCTCTCTGCTCCTTTCTCCCTCTTTTCTCCCTCTGAAATACATATAATCCTTATGTTGGATTTCCTAATTGAGTTGGATATTTCTCGGAGAGTTTCTTCATTTCTTTTTAGTCTTAGTTCTTTTCCTCCTCCATCTGGAGCATTTCTTCATTGCTGTCCTCAATATTGCGAATTCTTTCCTCCATATTGTCAGCTCTCATGCTTAAGGCTTCCAGATTTGCCTTTATCTCCGCTATTGTGTTTTTCATCTCTAAGATTTCTGATTGATTTTTCTTTATAGTTTCAATCTCTTTTGTTAAGAAATTCCTGGTTTCATTGAATTGTCTATCTATTTTGTTGTATTTCATTGAACTTTTTTATGATAGCTGTTTTGAATTCTCTGTCATTAAGGTTATACATTTCTGTGCTTTCAGGGTTGATTTCTGGGTGCTTTTCATTTTCCTTTTGGTCTGCAGATTTAATATATTTTTGCTTAGTTCCTGTTGGTGTTGGTTTCTTTTTCTTCATGTTGAGAGTGTCTGGTCACAGTTTCCTCTTGCTGCCACTGGGTGGGGTGTCACGAGCTGTGTATTTTGTGCCCTGCCTCAATCCATGGGCACTCTGGTTGTCCCGTGGCTGAGCTGAAGCGTGGCTGAGTGGAGGCTGCTAGAGCTGGAGCGCGGGAAGAAGCTGGGACTGGAGCATGGCTAGGCCAAAGCATCTAGGGCTTAGGTGTAGGTGGGCTGAAGAAGCTGAAACTGGAGAGCAGCTGAGCTTCAGTGTGGCTGAGTGGAAGCAGCTGGAGTGTGGAAACAGCTGGAGCTGGAGTGTGGCTGGGTTGAAGAAGCTGCATCTGAAGCACAGCTGGGCCAAAGAAGCAGGAGCTGGAGTGCCCTGAGCCATAGATTCTGGCGCCAATTCAACTGGAGCCTGAGCGTGGCCAAACTGAAGCAGCTGGAGCCAGGGCACAGTTGACCCGAAGGAGCTGGGGGTTGGGCATGGTCAAGCTGATGCAGTTGGGGCTGGGGTGCAGTTGAGCCGAAGGAGCTGTGGCCAGGACGCGGTCGAGCTGAAGGAGTTGTGGCCGGGGCGCGGTCCAGCTGAAGGAGCTGTGGCTGGGCAGCGTGATCAAGCCGATGGAGCTGGGGCTGTGGCGCGGTTGAGCCAATGCAGCTGGTGCTGTGGTGAGGTCGAGCCAGGGCAGTTGGGGCCTGGGCGCAGTCATCCTTGAGCTGCTGGGCCCGGGGCGCTGGGGTGCCGGGTAGCCGGAGCCACTGTGGCTGGGTCGCCGAGGTGCCACTGCCTCTGGGGCTGGGGCGCGGGCACATTGTTGCCACTGGCGCTGGAGCCAGAGCCGAGCTGATTTGCCGCTGAGCTCAGACTGCAGGGCTGCTGTGGTGAAGCGCCAGGTGGGTGGGGAGGGCAGTGCTTGCTTTCGCCTCCCTGATGCCAGAGGTTTCTCTCTTCGCTGTCGCTCTCTGCTCTCTTGAAGGACTAACTTGTTGAAAGTACCCTCATACCAGTTCCACTCCCTCCATAGGGCCATTGCCCATGGGCTGTGAGGGATCTTGGAGAGGGCCGGTTTTCCCTCGGAGGGCTGCCCCTACCCCCATCTCTCTGAGAGCCATGTGGTCTCAGTCTCAGGGTCGCAGTCCTTGGGGAAGGAAGGGAGCTCCTCTTACCTCCTTCCACTTCCTCTGGGGATTCCAGCAGTTCAGCCCTCAGATGTACAGCTGCGTGGGCGCCTCAGATGTCCCTTGTGTTGTTTGAATAACTTCTGTTGGAATATGTATGTCCTTTTTGTTGTGCCTTAGCGTGGGAGAGTTCAATGGGGGTAGCTCACTCTGCCATGATGGTGACCTCTGATCTCCAATCACTTAGAATCCTTTAATACAATTTAAATTGTCTTCCAGGTTATGTATATTGCCTTTATTTTTTCAACTACTTTCACAGATGTTATCTCCTTTCATCCTTGGACCCTAGAGGTAGATAAAATAGGCAATACTATTTCCCATTTTATGGGTGCAAAATCTAAGAATAGATGAGTTTTTTGATTTCTTCTAGAGAAGACTTCAACCCAAATTTTCGTTCTACAGTCTGCTTTCTCTATAGTATAATGCCTCTGGTTTTATACTTTATCTACTGCTCCTACCATATACTGAGCACATACAGGTATTGTCAGTTGATTGTTGTAAAATAGATTGTTTCTGTTCAGACACCCAATCAGTGATACCTATTTCTTTAAAAAATCTGTGCAATTATATTAATTAACTACTTAATTAATTGTGGAGTCTTTATCATAAGTATGTTGAAGCCTGAGTTCTTCAAAGGGGCAACATGTTGGTTGATCTAGATTTGAGGTTTCAATTACTGAAATTTTTCTTATTCATCAGACAGATGTCATTGACTGTACACCATGTGCCTAATAGTAATGCAAGCTCTGGATATGGATAGTTGTTGATTGCATTATTTTGTTAATAATATTTGGTCTCTTCTTATTTATACAGGAGAGATTAAACAGATTCTAGAAAATGAACTTCAAATACCTGTGTCTAAAATGCTGTTAAAAGGCTGGAAGACTGGAGATGTGGAAGACAGTGTGAGTTTCTTAATTGCCTAGAAATAAAAGAAAATTATGTTATGTAATTGACTAAATGATGTATAAAAATCGGTGTTTTTTAATGTTGTTACATATGACAGAAGTAGATTTGATAATAGTAACTTAGTTTATGGAATCAGCAAACAACGTTTTTCAAGCTAAAGCGTTTTCATGGTAAACCAGTAGCAATTTTAAATGAGTTAGGTATGTAAATGAAAACACCTTATGGCATGTTTTTTTCTATTTCTAACTATTTTATAGGAGTTAATTTGGCACTCTTTTTTGAGAGCTTTTACCTTTTTCTCAAACCGCATAGGGTGTTGGTAAGTGCCCTGGAATAATAATGTGCTGAACAATTGCTTATTGGCCTAAAAGAAGTCATGCACAGTGTATACATTTACACCAAGTATTGATTATGGAACAAAGATGATAATAGGAAATTTTTTAACTTGGAAAATTTAAATGATAAGAATATTTCTGGGGGCTGGCCTGGTGGCATAGTGGTTAAGTTTGTGCATTCTGCTTCAGCAGCCCAGGGTTTGCCAGTTTGGATCTGGGGCGCGGACCTACTCATTGCTCATCAAGCCATGCTGAGGCGGCGTCCCACATAGAGAAACTAGAAGGACCTACAACTAGGATATACAACTATATGTTGTGGTTTTGGGGAGAAAAAAGAAAAAGAGGAAGATGGGCAACAGATGTTAGCTCAGGGCCAATCTTCCTCAAAAAAAAAAAAAAGATTCTTTCTTTGTTTACTTGGTTAATGACAGGTGCATGGAATGAATTATATTTTAAGAATTTGTAAAAAGTTTTGTGATTTTAAGGTAGTAATTGCTATTGCAAGGACCTAGTAGCAGCCTCTGGTATAAAATATTTCATATGCTTTTTATTAGAGAGAGAGTAGGGAGGAAGGGAAAGAAATGAGTTTACTCTAAAGTTTTAGGTGTTTGAAGTGGAAATAATAGTTACTGAGTCAATATTTCAATATCTAGGCATAAACTTAGAATATTCAACTTTTGGTTTAGTTCTTCGTCAATGGCTGCTGGTAGATATTGTGCATATAAATATCTATATGTGAGTTCGTTCAGTATATGGAGATGTTCTGATTATTTCAACAAGATATTTAGAGTAATTGTAGGTTGGCAAGATATTTATAGATTTAGGTGCAAGTTAGTGATGTGCTATATTAGGTGTCAGCAAAGTTTTTCTGTGTAGTACCAAGTAGTAAAAAATTTAGGCTTTGTGGGCCATATAGTCTCTGTTGCACCTACTCAGTTCTGCTGTCATACCATGAGAGCAGCCATAGACAATATGTGAAAGAGTGGGCATGACTATGTTCCAATAAATCTTTATTTATGGACACAGAAATTTGAATTTTATATAACTTTACAAATCATGAAATACTTATCTTTTGATTTTTTTCAACCATTTAAAAATGTAAAAACCATTCTTAACTCGCAGGCCATACAAAAACAGGCAACAGGCTGGATTTGTCCCGTGGGCTATAGTTTGCTGACCCCTGGTGCTGTATGGCTATTCTAATAGAAATATGGATTAAAAAATAAAAAGAAGTGCTGAGTGAGTAAATCAACAACCTTGGTAGGACTAAAGCATCAAAATGCGTTAGTTTACATAGCTATATCATTTATTCGTTTATTGAAAAACCTATGGATATGAATCAGTCTTGCATGGCATTTTCAGTAGTTTGTTAAGAGAAAGGCAATCATTTTTTAAATGTTCTTAAAGCTATGTGTTCTATATTTGAACATAGTCTTTGTTACCAATAATATTTTCAATTACTTATTTCTATGTACTCTTCCCTAGGAGATTTCTGCTATTCCTATGCCATTAATTTTCTGATCGCTCCCAAATTTATATTTCCAGGTTATATGTCTATGAATTCACGTATCCAAATTGGTAATCACTTTTGTACTTGTATACCTTATTGGCATTTTTAACTTAACATGTTTAAAATGGAACTCTTGATTTTTCTTCCCATGCCATTTTCCATCAATCTTTCCCAATAAATGGGAACACTAGATAGCCACTGATAAATCCAAAATTGTAGGTATTAGTCTTTTCCCATTTCAAACAATACCTAATCCTTTGGTAAATCATATAGAGTCTATCTCCAAAATATATCCCAACGATGGCCACTTTTTAGTGTTTTTATTGCACCACCTAATCCTGGCCATTAGCACCTCTTGCCTGGACCAGTGTGATAGCTTCATTGTTGTTTTCCCGGATTCCTTTCTTGGGTTCTTCCAATGCATTCTCCACACAGCAGCCAGAGTGATCTTTAAAAAACATAAATCGAATTATATCACTCTCCTGTTAAAACATAGCTTTTTATTGCACTTTGAATAAAATTCAAGCTATTCACCATGGTTTAAAAGATGTTGTATTATTTATCCTCTGTTTACCTCTGCAACCTCATCTTCAGCCTTTCTTACCTACTTTCCATGCTGCAGCCATAGAAACCTCCTTTTAATTCTTCTAATAGGCTCGAGCTCTTTACATCTTTACCTGACAGATGCTATTTAACTGCCTGGAATGCTTTACCCCCAATTTTTCATATGGGTGGCTTTTTTTTCATCCTTCAAGTCTCAGCCTAAGTGTTAGTTTCTCTAAGAAGCCTCTGTATAAAATTTGGCTCATCCCAGCATTCTCCATCACAGCACCATGAGTAGAGGGACCTTATCTGTTTCTTTCACCATTGTATATCCAATGCCTGGTATAATAGGCATCAAATAAATGTTTGAGGAATGGACGAATGAATAAATGACTTAAAGAAAGTACTCATTTATTTAATCATGCCATATGTGATTTGAGGGGGAAAATTTAATGGAAAATCTTTGGATGGTGGCATGGCAAAGGACAATAGTGAGTTGATCCAGTGGTAAGACTAAGCATTTATCAGTAATCTATAAAGTAAAATAACAAAAGATAAAAGGATAAAAATAACTTTCCTATGTGCATATGCATGTGTTTTGTTTGTTTGCATGTTAACTCTGTAGAGGTAACACAGATCAATTTCAAAAGGACTTACACGTATTTGACATAAAGATTTAGAACTTCTAGGTCTCCTGGTAGATTGTGAAGTTATATGCAATTGCCTACTGTGGTGTTTTTTTTCAAACCATGGGTCACAAACCATTAGTGGGTTGTAAAGTTAATTGATTGGATTATAGCCAGCATTTTTTTAAAAAAAGAAAGAAATAGAATAGATGATGTCAGAGTGTATTGAAAATAATAAGGGTAAGTATTTCTTTTTATTTAACACATAACTAATACGAGTCAAGAATAAGTCCCAATGCCCTTGGAGTACGATTGAGACCTCTCGTGGAGGGGTCAAGGATGAGTTCCTGATGTTCCATGCCTGGGTAAGATCAGCCCTCCCCAAGTGTCCCTACTTCCATCTGCAGGGTTAAAAGGGATTCCTAGACATTCACTCTACCTTGCTTTCCAGTGCTTTCAGCCTTGACATTATTATTTGCTTTGATTCAACCAGGACTAATTTTATTACACCTTTTTCCACTGTTTATGCCAGTCACTGCAAGGAGTCTTAGATTCCCACATCACCCTTCCGTAGTCTGCACAGCTCATTTTTGTCTCTATCCTTTTACCCCTACAATGCCTGAAACCTTTTTGCTATGCCCTGTGGAACTAATTCATCTTTAGTAAAATTCCTTCTTTTGTCAGCTTCTTCCCTGCTCATTCCCTTCACTGTCTTCCTGTGACTGAAATCTATCTTCCTGAGATAGATTGTTTCTCTGTAGCCTTCTCAGTGTTAATTGCTCTTCTCTAGCAGCCATCATACCATTGGAATAACTGGTAAAATATATGTCCTTATTATTCCTCATTTCCACTTCCAGACCTTTTTCAGTCTTTTCTTTCTAAAAACCTTCAGCTTTGACTTTCATCTTGAGGTGATATCACCTACTTATTCAAGACATCTCCTCTCAGTTCCTGATGATTTTTAGTTCCTGGTTTATAATTGCTCTCTAACTTAATTCTTAGTAATTTAAATTCCTTTGTGAATGATTCTTCCAACTCTTTGGCTGCTTAGTTCCTTGAACTTCTTTCCTACAAAGATCTTTATCTTCACCCTATGTGGGCCGTATCTTCCCATGGTCTTATCATTTTAATTATGACAGTTCTCAAATCTTAATTTCAAGCTTCCATTTTCTGCTTACCATCTCTCATCTTTCTAGCTCACTTCCTTTAGTGTCCTAACAACAACAGTCCTTCGACCTTATTCAGACCTCCAGTCCATTGTCTCTACCATCTTTTCATGATCTAGACCTCTTTCATGCCCTCTCTTCCTTTCTTAGAGTAGGTGTATCCCACGCTCACTCATTATGATCACTTTCTTGCATTGCTTCATGGGTCTTCAAGGACAAAAATCCTTCCCTTGGTTCAACATCCGCAAATCAATCAACGTGATACATCACATCAACAAAACAAAGAATAAAAACCACATGATCATCTCAATAGACGCAGAGAAGGCATTTGACAAGATACAACATCCATTTATGATAAAAACTCTCAATAAAATGGGAATAGAAGGAAAGTACCTCAACATAATAAAGGCCATATATGACAAACCCACAGCTAACATCATACTCAACGGGGAAAGACTGAAAGCCATTCCTCTGAGAACAGGAACGAGGCAGGGCTGCCCACTCTCACCACTCCTGTTCAACATAGTACTGGAGGTTTTGGCCAGAGCAATTAGGCAAGAAAAAGGAATAAAAGGAATCCAAATAGGTAACGAAGAAATGAAACTCTCACTATTTGCAGATGACATGATTGTATATATAGAAAACCCTAAAGAATCTGTTGGAAAACTGTTAGAAACAATCAACAACTACAGCAAAGTTGCAGGGTACAAAATCAATCTACAAAAATCAGTTGCATTTCTATATGCTAATAATGAACTAACAGAAACAGAGCTCAAAAAGATAATACCATTTACAATTGCATCAAAAAGAATAAAATACCTAGGAATAAATCTTACCAAGGAGGTGAAGGACCTATACAATGAGAACTACAAGACATTATTGAGGGAAATCCACGACGACATAAAGAAATGGAAAGATATCCCATGCACGTGGATTGGAAGAATAAACATAGTTAAAATGTCTATATTACCTAAAGCAATCTACAGATTCAATGCAATCCCAATCAGAATCCCAATGACATTCTTCACAGAAATAGAAAAAAGAATACTAAAATTTATATGGGGCAACAAAAGACCCCGAATAGCTAAAGAAATCCTAAAGAAAAAGAACAAAGCAGGAGGCATCACAATTCCTGACTTCAAAACATACTACAAAGCAATAGTAATCAAAACAGCATGGTACTGGTACAAAAACAGACACACAGATCAATGGAACAGAATTGAAAGCCCAGAAATAAAACCACACATATACGGACAGCTAATTTTCGACAAAGGTGCTAAGAACATGCAATGGAGAAAGGAAAGTCTCTTCAATAAATGGTGTTGGGAAAACTGGACAGCCACATGCAAAAGAATGAAAGTGGACCATGTGCTATCGCCATTCACAAAAATTAACTCAAAATGGATCAAAGACCTGAAGGTGAGAGCTGAAACTATAAAACTCATAGAAGAAAATATAGGCAACACACTATTTGACATTGGTTTTAAAGGAATCTTTTCGGATGACATGCCTACCCAGACTAGGGAAACTAAAGAAAAAAAAATAAACAAGTGGGACTTTATCAGATTAAAGAGCTTTTATAAGACAAATGAAACCAGAATCAAGATGAACAAATAACCAACCAGCTGGGAGAGAATATTTGCAAAACATACATCTGACAAGGGGTTGATCTCCATAATATATAAAGAACTCACACAATTGAACAACAAAAAAACAAACAACCCGATCAAAAAATGGGCAGAGGAAATGAACAGACACTTCTCCAAGGAAGATATACAGATGGCCAATAGGCACATGAAAAGATGCTCAACATCACTAATCATCAGGGAAATGCGAATCAAAACAACACTAAGATACCACCTCACGCCTGTTAGAATGGCTATAATCACCAAGACAAAAAACAACAAATGTTGGAGAGGATGTGGAGAAACAGGAACCCTCCTACACAGCTGGTGGGAATGCAAATTGGTGCAGCCTCTATGGAAAACGGTATGGAGATTCCTCAAAGAATTAAAAATAGAGATGCCCTATGATCCAGCCATCCCACTACTGGGAATCTATCCAACGCACCTGAAATCAACAATCCAAAGAGGCTTATGCACCCCTTTGTTCATTGCAGCATTATTCACCATAGCCAAGAAGTGGAAGCAACCTAAGTGTCCCTCGACTGACGATTAGATTAAGAAAAGGTGGTATATATATACAATGGAATACTACTCAGCCATAAAAAAAGACAAAATCGTCCCATTTGCAACAACATGGATGGGCCTGGAGCGTATTATGTTAAGTGAAATAAGCCAGAAAGAGAAAGACAAACACTGTATGATCTCACTCATATGTGGAATATAAACCAACACATGGACAGAGAAAACTGGACTGTGGTTACCAGGGCAGTGGGGGTGGGCACAAAGGGTGAAGGGAGTCATATATGTGGTGATGGACAAACAAAAATGTACAACCCAAAATTTCACAATGTTAGAAACCATTAAAACATCAATAAAAAAAAAAAAATCCTTCCCTTGGATGAGTGCAAGTCTGTCTATTCTGTACCTCACAACTAAATGTGGCTGGAGACAAACCAAATCATGCAGATTGGTGTATCTTTAAATTCATGACAATGATCTTCCGAGAGCTCCTTAATGTTGTTAGACATCGTTTATCCATATTCTCCTAAATGGCTATTTTGTACTTAACCTCTCCTTAGACCTTTAAAATACCTCTCTTCCATTCTCACTCTCAGCTCATGACTTCGCTTCCTGTTTTGTTTTACTGACAAAATAAAGGCAATCACAAGAGAATTTCCACAAGCTTCCTACTTGGTCTCTGTTTACTTACCTGCATCTTACACACTTACTCTCCTTTTTCTCCTGTCATTCTAGATGGCCTGTCCAGTTTCCTGTCTAAGACCAAACCTCTGTGTTTGCTTTGAATTACATTCTCTATCCCCTCTGGCCTATTCAAGGACTTCACTCTAATTCTTCCCTGTCTTTCCTGCATCATCAGTATTTTCCTCTGGTAGATCATTACCATAAACATTCAAACATGATGTTATTTCTTCTATTTTTCTCTTGAGCCCACCTTCCCTTCCAGCAATTGCTCCTTGTCTCTAGTCCCCCTGATAACAAAACTTCCCCCAAAGAGTTGTCTATATTTGTTGTCTCTAAATCTTTTCCTACCATTTCTCTTGAGCTCCGTCTAAACAGGGACCTGCTAATGCTCTTGTCAAAGTCATCAGTGACCACATTACTAAATTCAGTGGTGATTTTACCAGTGTCATGGCTTTTAAGTGTCATCTATATGCACTGTCAATTTTATATCTCTAATTTATACCTCTACCCTAGACCTGTTCCCTGAATTCTAGATTGATGTATCCAGCTGCTTTCACTTTTCTTCTCCACTTGAATGTCTAGTACACATTTCACACTTACGTGTGCAAAATGGAAGTCCTCGTCTGTGGTCTTCCCCATTTCAGTTGATGGCAACTTCATTCTTCCAATTGTTCAGTCTAAAATCTTTAGGATCATTATTGACTCCTTTCTGTCATAACCCATATCCAGTTTGTTAGGAAATCTTTTTGGTGCTATCTTCAAAATATATTCAGAATTCAACTGTTTTGCACTACTTCTTCTACCATGACCCTGGCATAATCCATCATGAGCCTTATGTTAGTATATTTTATTAGCCCCCTCTATGCTCTGCCCTCCTCTGTCAATCCCTTTCCCATCCATTTTCAACACAGCTGACAAAATGATCCTTTTAAAACGTGAATCTAATCATGTTACTCCAATAGCTTCCCCTCTCATTCAGAGTAAAAGTCAAAGCCTTTACATTAGCCTAAATGGCTCAACACATTTCCTGCCCCTGCCATCACTGTTGCCTCTCTGACCTGTCTCCTACCAGTGGCCATTTGGCTTTAGTTACATTGGACTTCTTGTTGTTCATTAAGCATTTTGCACTGGCTGTTGCCTTTGCCTGAAATACTCTTTTTCTATATATTCTCTTGGTTTGTTTCCTCACCGCTTTTAAGTCTTTGCTCACATGTCACATTCTCCAAGTGAGAATCACCTCGATCAGTCAGTTTAAAAGAACATAACTCTCCAACTCCATATTCTTCACCATCCCTTCCCTGCTTTATGTTTAGTCAAAAAAATATTACTTTCTAATATTGAACAATACAGGTTACTTATTTTATTTATTCCTACTAAAATGTAACCTCCATAAGATCAGGGATTTTAGACTATTCTATTCGCTGCTGTATGCTCAGTATTTAGAATAGTCTTGGCACAGAGTAGGTGCCTCAATAAATATCTGTTGAATAAATATATATGTCCTGGGTTATGATGTAAAGATGTAAAATGTGTTTTTTAATGTGTATTGCTATAAAAAAAAAGTTTAAAATACTTTAGCAAGTATTTGCCATCAAGTTGGGATTTTGAAAGGTATGTAGGAGTTCTACGGCAAAGAAATTTAGTGAAATTTATATGGTTATCAAGACAGTAGATTAGATATAGCCCAAGAGTAGTTTATTCACCCCAGACAGACTGCTTTAACCAAAAAATTCTCTGGAGTAAGAGTTAAGTGACCTACGTAGCCCTTACTAGAGACCTCATTCAAGTCACTTCACCTCTCAGGCTGCAGCTCCTCATCTATAAAGTCATTGGGCTGGGGTGCTCTCTATGATCTTTTCTAGATCTAATGATCTCTAAAAACCTACATTGCTAATCTTTGCTATAATGATCCTGGAATGAAGTGCATATTAATTGCAAGGATATACTTCTTCCATGAAGAAATTAATGAATCTCAACTGTTTTCTTATCTATTTGTCTCTTGTCATGAGCTAAAGAATTTGTATTTTGACATTCATATTTATGCTAATTTATGATATGTATGGGAGAAACAAGGTTATTTGAATTCACTGTTTCTTCTGCTACCCTGTTTTTGAAATTATCAAAAGATGAAAAGTCAGAGTAAAATATTGATAATTTTTCAAGAATTATAGGAAAAAATTAATAATGCACACTCAGTCATTTTTTTGTTTTTATATTTTCTTTTTCAGACGGTCTTAAAATCACTACACTTGCCAAAAAACAACAGTCTTTATGTCCTTACACCAGACTTACCACCACCTTCATCATCTAGTCATGCTGGGTAAGATGTTTACATTTCCTGGGAATCTGAAATGAAAAGTTTGTTTTTTTTTTCTTTTCTTAATTATCTTATTGAAATCATAAAGGTTATAATATTGTATAATTTAGGATGTACATTATTACTTATCAGTTTCTGTATAGACTGCATCATACTCATCACCAGTAATCTAGTTTTTATCTGTCACCATACGTATGTGTCCCTTTACCCCTTTCGCCCACCCCCATCCCTTGTCCCCTGTGGTAACCACTAATCTGTTCTCTTATCCATGTGTTTATTTATCTTCCACATGTGAGTTTTGAAATCACGCAGTGTTTGTCTTTCTCTGTCTGGCTTATTTCGCTTAACATCATACCCTCAAGGTCCATCCATGTTGTTGGAAATGGGACGATTTTGTCTTTTTTTTATGGCTGAGTAGTACTCCATTGTATATATGCCACATCATCTTTATCCATTCATCTGTAGCAGAGCACTTGGGTTGCTTTCACATCTAGGCTATTGTGAATAATGCTACAGTGAACATGGGGTGCATAAATCTCTTTGAATTGTCGATTTCAACTTCTTTGGATAAATACCCAGTAGTGGGATAGCTGGGTTGTATGGTATTAGTATTTTTAAATTTTTGAGAAATCTCCATACTGTTTTCCATAGTAGCTGCACCACTTTGCATCCCCACCAGGAGCGTATGAGAGTTCTCTTTTTCCACATCCTCTCCAACATTTGTTACTTTTTGTCTTGTTAATTAGAACCATTCTGACAGGTGTAAAGTGATATCTCATTGTAGTTTTGATTTACATTTCCCTAATAATTAGTGATGTTGAACATCTTTTCATGTGTTTGTTGGCCATCTATATATCTTCTTTGGAGAAATGTCTCTTCATATTCTCTGCCCATTTTTTGATCAGGTGGTTTGTTTTTTTGTCGTTGAGTTGTATGAGTTCTTTATATATTTTGGAAATTAACGCCTTGTCCGGATATATGATTTGCAAATATTTTCTCCCACTTGGTGGGTTGTCTTTTCGTTTTGTCCATGGTTTCCTTTGCCTTGCAGAAGATTTTTAGTCTGATGTAGTCCCATTTGTTAATTTTTTTCTTTTGTTTCCCTTGCCTGAGTGGACATAGTATTGAAAAACATGCTGCTAAGCCTGATGTCAAAGAGTGTACTGTCTATATGTTCCTCTAGGAGTTTTATGGCTTCAGGTTTCACATTCATCTTTAATCCATTTTGAGTTAATTTTTTTGAATGGTGCAAGATAATGGTCTACATTCATTCTTTTGCATGTGGCTCTCCAGTTTTCCCCACACCATTTATTGAAGAGACTTTCCTTTCTCCATTGTATGTTCTTGGCTCTTTTGTTGAAAATTAACTGACCATAGATGTGTGGTTTTATTTCTGGGCTTTCAATTCTGTTCCGTTAATCTGTGTGTCTGTTTTTGTACCAGTACCATACCGTTTTGATTACTATAGCTTTGTAGTATATTTTGAAGTCTGGGATTGTGATGCCTCCAGCTTTGTCCTTTTTTTCCAGAATTTCTTTGGCTTTTCAGGGTCTTCTGTTGTTCCATATAAATTTTAGGGTGCTTTGTTCTATTTTTGTGAAGAATGTCATAGGGATTCTGATTGGGATTGCATGGAATCTGTAGATTGCTTTAGGTAATATGGACATTTAAACTGTGTTTATTCTTCCAATCCATGTGCGTGGAACATCTGTCCATTTCTTTATATCTTCTTTGATTTCTTTCAATAATGTCTTATAGTTTTCAGTGTATAGGTCTTTTACTTCCTTGGTCAAATTTATTCCCAGATATTTTTTCCTTTTGTTGCAGTTGTAAATGGGATTGTATTCTTGAGTTCTCTTTCTGCTAGTTCGTTATTAATGTATGGAGATGCAACTGATTTTTGTAAGTTGATTTTGTACCCTGCAACTTCGCTGTAGTTGTTGATTATTTCTAAAAGTTTTCTGATGGATTCTTTAGAGTTTTCTATATAGAGAGTCATGTCATCTGTAAACAGCAGGCGTTTCATTTCTTCCTTTCCAATTTGGATTCCTTTTATTTCTTTTTCTTCCCTAATTGCTCTGGCCAAAACCTCCAGTGCTATGTTGAATGGAAATAGTGAGAGTAGACATCATTGTCCTGTTCTTATTCTCAGAGAGATAGCTTTTAGTTTTTCACTATTAAGTGGTATGTTGGCTGTTGGTTTGTCATATATGGCCTTTGTTATGTTGAGGTACTTTCCTTCTGTACCCATTTTATTGAGAGTTTTTATCATAAATGGATGTTGGATCTTGTTAAATGCTTTCTCTGCATCTATTTAGATGATCATGTGATCTTTATTCCTCATTTTGTTAATATAGTGTATCACATTGATTGATTTGCATATGTTGAACCATCCCTGTGTCCCTGGTCTAAATCCCACTTGATCATGGTGTGTGATCCTTCTGATGTATTGCTGTATTTGGTTTGCCAATATCTTGTTGAGAATTTTTGCATCTACATTCATCAGTGATAGTGGCCTGTAATTTTCCTTCTTTTTGCTGTCCTTGCCTGGTTTTGGTATCAGGGTAATGTTGGCCTCATAGAATGAGTTAGGAAGCTTTCTGTCTTCTTCAATTTTTTGGAATAGTTTGAGAAGGACAAGTATTGAATATTCTTTGAATGTTTCACAGAATTCTCCAGAGAAGCCATCTAGTCCTGGACTTTTGTTTTTTGTGAGGTTTTTGATTACTGTTTTGATCTCTTTACTTCTGATTGGGCTATTCACATTCTCTATTTCTGCTTGATTCAGTTTTGGGAAGTTGTATGTGTCTAAGAATTTATCCATTTCTTCTAGGTTATCCAGTTTGTGGGCATACAGTTTTTCATAGTATCCTCTTATAATCCTTTGTATTTCTGTGGTATCCATTGTAATTCCCCCCTTTCATTTCTAATTTTATTCATTTGAGCTTCTCTCTTTTTTTCTTAGTGAGTCTGGCAAGAGTTTGTCAATTTTGTTTATCTTCTCAAAGAACCAGCTGTTAGTTTCATTGATCCTTTCTCCGGTTTTTTTTTTGTTTGTTTGTTACAATTTCCTTTATTTCTGCTCTAATTTTTATTATTTCCCTCCTTCTGCTGACTTTGGGCTTTGTTTGGCTTCTTTTTCTAATTCTCTTAGGTGTAGTTTAAGATTACTTATTTGACATTTTTCTTGTTTGTTGAAGGAGGCCTGTATTGTTATGAATTTCCCTCTTATAAACCCTTTTGCTGCATCCCACAAGAGTTGGTATGATGTATTTCCATTTTCATTTGTCTCCAGGTGTTTTTTTTTGGTGTGTGTGAGGAAGATTGGCCCTGAGCTAACACTTGCCAATCCTCCTCTTTTTGCTGAGGAAGACTGGCTCTGGGCTAACATCCATGCCCATCTTCCTCCACTTTCTATGGGATGCCACTACAACATGGCTCGGTAAGCAGTGCGTTGATGCGTGCCCGGGGTCCGAACCGGCGAACCCCCAGCTGCCGCAGCGGAGCGCATGCATTTAACCGCTTGTGCCACCTGGCCGGCCCCTCCAGGTGTTTTTTGATTTCTCCTTTAATTTCTTCATGAGTCTAATGGTTGTTCAGTAGAATGTTGTTTAGTCTCCACATATTTGTGACTTTCTCAGCTTTTTTTTTGTAGTTGATTTCTAGTTTCATAGCTTGTGGTTGGAAAAGATGCTTGATATGATTTCAATCTTCTTAAATTTATTGAGGCTTGCCTTGTTTCCCAGCATATGGTCTATCTTTGAGAACATTCTATGTGCACTTGAGAAGAATGTGTATTCTGCTGTTTTCAGATGGAATGCTCTCTCTGTATCTGGTAAGTCCATCTGATCAAGTGTTTCATTTATATCTACTATTTCCTTGTTGACTTTCTGTCTGGATGATCTATCCATTGATGTAAGTGGGGTGTTGAGCTTCCCTACTATTATTGTAATGCTGTTAATTTCTTCCTTTAGGTCCGTTCACAGTTGCTTTATAAACTGTGGTGCTCCTGTGTTAGGTGCATATATATTTATATGTGTTACCTCCTCTTGGTGGAAAGTCCCTTTTATCATTATATACTGCCCCTCTTTGTCTGTTATCGTGTTTTTATCTTGAAGTCTGCTTTGTTTGATATTAGCATGGCAACACCTGCTTTCTGTTGTTTGCCATTTGCTTAGAGAATCATCTTCCATCCCTTCACTCTGAGCCTATGTTTGTCTTTAGAGCTGAGATGTGTTTCCTGGAGGCAGTGTATAGTTGAGTCTTGTTTTCTAATCTGTCCAGCCACTTTGTGTCTTTTGATTGGAGAATTCAATCCATTTAATTTAGAGTGATTATTGATATATGAGGGCTTATTACTGCCGTTTATTTAGTTTCCTCTTGTTTTATATTTCCATTGTTTCTCTTCCTTTGTATTTCTGACTGCCATTTCATTTTTGTGTTTTTCTGTGGAGATTTTCTGTTTTCTTTTTTTATGAATTGTGGTTCTGCTTTGATTTTTTGTTTAGTGGTTACTGTGAGGTTTGTATAAAAGATGTCATAGATGAGATAGTCCATTTTCTGATAGCCTTTTGTCTCCATTAACCTAAGCAGGTTCCATTCTATTTCTCTTCTCCTTCTGAGTTACTGTTGTCACAAATTATTGTGTTTTGCGTTGTGAGTTTGTGACTAAGTTGAAGTGTTTATTGTTAGTTTTCATGCTTTCCTTCCCTTTATAAGTTATAACTAAATATTTGCTACCCTGTTCTGAAAGAGAGCTGTGGTTTTCTGATTTTGTCTGTCTATTTATCTCCTTGCTCAAAGCTTTGTAGACCTTTGTCTTTTTGTTTTAGGTATGTGGGCATCCTTAATCTTTTCTTGTAGGGGAGGTCTAGTGGTGATGAAGTCCCTCAGCTTTTGTTTATCTGCAAAAGATGTTATTTCTCCGTCATATCTGAAGGATAATTTCCATGGATAGAGTATTTTTGGCTGAAAGTTTTTGTCTTTAAGTATTTTGAATATAT